GAAACCGTGCAAAGCAGGTTAATTGGTATAAACAAGTGCTTCATTACATAATTAATGATCATCTTGACAATCCAAGGGCTGGTCCTCAATGCTACAGGGGAGAAGTTGCACTGTTTGGACTCTGGCTGCCTGTGAACCGAAGCCCTGCACTAGATTCACTTCCTCTGTGAGGCCCCTGGGTAGAGACACAAAGCCTGGACTGCACTGTCTCTCTGGGGGGCCTAGGGGGTGCTGTCTGTGTGAGCTGAGGAGGCGGGGAACATACAGAGGTTGCCATTGATGACTTTGCTGTAGTCCACCTGGCCCCTCATGGCCCTGATCTTCTTGAGCTTGGCCTCCTGGCTGTCCACGCGTTCCTTCAGCCTCTGCAGCTTCTCGCTCTCCGACACGGCCTGCTGCTGGCGCCGCTCCTGCTGCTTCAGGTACCTCAGCCGCTGCTCCTGGGGGGGGAGAGGCGGAGTGAGGGGGGGTGGTCAGGACGGGGCTCGGCCCCCCACAGAAAACAGCCCCCCACGGAGCCTCGCTCAGCAGCCTGGGCGCGGGCAGCGAGTCAGCGCTGAGTCAGCCCCGAGTCAGCCCCCCCCTGCAAGGGCAGGAGTGCAGCAGCAGTGCCTCGAGCCGGGGCCCGAGGAAGTCCACGAGAAATCGCCAGGAAAAGCGGAAGTGAGCGAATGCGCGCTTTCCCGCTGTGCGGGAGCACCCCCCAGCCCACCCCCCAAAAACAGCTGGAGTCTTTCTGTGGCAAAACACTTCTCTCCCACACCGAGCGGAAACTGACCATTCTGCAAGTGGGGATGCAGGGGGAGACGTTGTGGGAAAAAGTGCTCACACTCGCCCGCGCACTCGCCCGCGCACACTCGCCCGCGCACACTCGCCCGCGCACACTCGCCCGCGCACACTCGCACACCTTATTTCCATCAAGAGAACTTGTCATTCTTAACCAGCAGCTCGGGACACGGTAAAAGTGAAGATCCAAACCAAGGAAAGGGAAAATCCAGTATGGAGCAGTTTACTGAGTGGTGTGCTCCCGTTTATACAGCCTGTCAATGAAAGCTTGGAAGGAAATCCACACTAGACAGGACATACGGACGAGGTGGAGAAGCCGAAGGAGGTTCCCCACTCGGAACAGAGCACTGGGAAAGGAATACCCACAGGGCGCCCCGCCAGCTCTAAGCAGAACCAATTTATACATACAGTACACTAGTTAAAACAAAAGTCTCTATCATTGTCTTCGTTAAAAACCTGTTGATAATCTCATATATGAAGTACGCTCTACGGCTACAAACTCTAAACTCTATAGCTACAGAGCCATTTCTTGTTATTTCTTTCATTTGCTTTGCATTAAAAAAAGTAAAAATTTACCTTCTGCCTATATGACTTGTTCCGACGCTTTGGCGTTTACTGACCTCGGTCCCGAAAACTAGTAATAATAAAAAGGTTCAAAGCCGTGTCTGGAATCCAAAGCGGAAAAAAAGGAGCAGAACCCCCCAAAAACGGATGGCAAAAATACTCCAGGGGTTTTAGTAGTAGCTCAGACTTCTTTCATCTCCACAATGCTCCCGGGAACAGTCTCGGTGCAGACTGGTGCTCCAGGGGGGGGACGGCACCTCTAGCAGAGTCTGGCTCTGGGTCCGGTCCACCTCCCTTCAGGACTGCATGTCCTTGTCCGGCCAGTGGCCGCACCCCTCCCTCCCTGCAGCTGCTGCCCTCCCCCGTATCTCATTTCCTGCTGCTTGGCTCCCTTCCTCCTGTTGTGTTGC